CTTGCAATTGCATATCTAAGAAAGCTAATTGAACACTACTGTGATCCATACTACATAGTTGAATCTTATATTAAGGCCTATAGTAAAGTAATTCACCCCATAGCACACTCAAGCTATGACCTAGAAATAGAATCTGAAAAAATATTATCATCAACTTTAAAAAGAAGGGTTAGCAGGCCAAGGGAAAGAAGATTTAGACAAGAAGGAGAAGCTCCCCCATATACAAATAGTAGAAGATTTGGGACAATTAGATATAAGAAGCGTGACCAGCTTGGACTTAATAGAAGGACTTGTGAGAGTGCTCTACCAACACAGATAAACCTTTCTGTAACTCCATATCAGACCTGCATTTTTTTAGAAACTTGGATCTTTGCTTCAACTAAAATTTCTTTGTTTATAAAATAGGCTAGAGTTCACAACCAAGGACGAGATCCAGGATGGGGGAGGGAACAACAGGTGCATCAAGTTCATAGCAACCAGAGGATTCTCATATTATATTTCCGCAATTCTTAGATGTGAAATCTAAAAATTTTGAGCTCATAGAAGAAGAGTTTTTTGTTGGAATCCCTCTTTTTTTTTCATTTACAAAATGGACTGGGAGTTAATACACAAGTTGATGAAAAACGAGATTTTGTTTTCAGTAGGAAGGCCATATAGAAAAGAAGTTCATACACTTCTTTTTTTTTTGTTTCCCTTTTTGATTATTGGCTTGAATCATGTATAGTTATATTGTTTAGCTAACACTTTTTATCATGAATATAATAGTTGTTCTGTAAAAGGACATTATTTCTCTATATTACCTGCAAGGATGTTTGATATAATAGATTGGCATTAAATTTCCAGCTATTTATGAAATATTTTGATATTAAGTTACTTTTTATTGTGTTGGTCATTTCATGTTAAAGGCATATTGTGATACCATTGCAAAGTAAATGCAAATGCAAATTGTGTTGTCAATCCTCTATTAGATTAGTTGGATAATGCAATTCAGTTATTTAAAAGTAGATTCATGGACATTCACAGGTTAATTGGAAAAAGAAATTTGAAATAGGAGAAATTTGCTAATTTAATTACAGCTTCACTAACCCATTACATCATTTACCTACCCATTACAATCTATCCATTACAGCAAAATGTATGTCTTCTATAGCATAGAGAGATTACAACCAAAAAGTAAACAAAACACTTACAAACACATAAGGCATCTATGCCTTCTTTCCCAGCAAAATGAAAATCAATATGAAAAAGCATCACAAAACACATGCAACAAACACAAGCGAATATCCTATAATGCACATCTACAGCCTCACTTGGTTGCAAGCTTCACATTTTCTTCCTTCAAATGAACCACAACTTCTTTCATATTATACAATTCTCTTATCAATGTCCGTTCAAAGCACCTCTATCTGAGTGGTATCCCTAGAATTTGCTTCGAATGAGTCTGCCGGCTTATACCACCTTGAAAATGTTCCACAATCATTACTTTTGGCAATAATAGCACAGTCTATTCTAATTTTTCGTCGTTTCAGAAATTCTAACCCCAGCCCTCTTACCACACTTGCATAAAGTATTTAGAAACCTTCCCTCCGACCCACAGTCACTCGCACTTGATGAAGACATCGCCATAGATTTTTTAAGAAATAACTCTAAGGAGATGAAGCAGAGAAACGGCCGGTTTTAATAAGCCTTAGCATGTGCATGTCACGTGCATATTAAGGCTAATATGGACATTTAAAGCTCTTCTCACACCTCTGACCTCGTTTTTTATCATTGACTTGCGGCTAAATAGCTAAAAAGTGGACGGAAAATCTTAGTAGTGTAATGGGACCATAAGTTAGGAATGTCTTAATGTATTTTACAAAAAATAGTGTATCTGACCATTATACAGGGACATAATAGTAAGTTTCCCTTAAGATTACTTCAAAAAAAAAAAAAAAAAAAAAAAAAAAAAGACTCCACAGTTCCTCGCAATTGCATAGAAGAATACCCATAAGACTCTTTTTAAGAAATAACCTTCTAAGGCAGATGAAGCCAGCTAAAAAACAAACAGGAAACCATCCCGCATTCTCTAATAAGTGACCTTAGCATGTGCATGTTTCACGTGCATATTAAGGACATAATATGGACATTTAAAGCGCTCTTCTCACACCTCTGACCTCGTTTTTTTATCATTGACTTCGCGGCTTATAATAGTTAAAAAAGTTGACCGGAAAAAATCTTAGTAGGTGTAACATGGGACCATACGTTAAGGAAATGTCTTAATGCTAAATTTACAACAAATAGATGTAAAATACGACATGAACCCTCCCTGCTACAAAATCTATACAGGGAAATAATTAGTAAAGTTATCCAAACTTAAAGACTTACTTACAAAAAAAAATACAAAGAAATAAAAAAAAGAATTCGTTGTCACATAAAAAAAAAAAAAAAAAAAAAAAAAAAAAAAAGTTGTTGTCAAATTAAAAACAAAGATCTATCGAAAAGAAGTTTGTATACACTTTTTCTTTTCACAGTTCAAATATACTCAAAGTCTAAAACCCACCTTCTAGATACTTTAGTCTCTCTCTTTGTTGTTTCAAGAACTAGGAATCCCTTCTCTTTTTCTTTCATTTTCTCTTCTTTCCTTTTATTTTCCTTCTCATTTTCTTTCACAATGCCAATGAACAAGGACCCATTTACTCCTATTTAAAGCCAAAGAAAATTGCCCTACAGAGTGTTTATGACTCCTCCCTTCACCCATAAACCGGTTGACATAGACCATATATTTGAGGATCCAGATCAGTACTGTTAATTGAAGATCCAGATCTTGATGGAGGTCGGTGCCGTTAATTGACTCCACATCCTATGCATGCTTAGCCACTTGGTCAAAGGTTTCATTTTTTTACTTCTTGTATTTATAATTGTCTGTTTCCTTTTTTTTTTTTTTTTTTAACTCCAAAATCCTTAATGCTCGATTAGCCACTTGGTGTAAAAGCCGCTCCCATTTTTATTTTAACTTCACTTGTATTTTAATAAATTGATATGTTTCCTTTTTTTTTTCTTTTTTGACGTTCATTATTGTGGTTGAATCCTCAATTTGTAACAAGAAGGTAAGGATAAATTAAAAATATTGTTTAACTATATGTATTCGTTATATTTGCGTCATTAATGATGCTGAATTTAACTTTTTTTTTTTTTTTTTGGTCCTTGATGGTGTTGTACAGAGGTGGTATTAAATTGTTTCTTATTTTTCGTTTTGGATTATGATGGTGAATTGTGGCTAGGATTCTTAAAACTTAATTGAATGATGAGTTATAACGGTGGATTGGATTTGATTTACTGATAGTAGTTTTTACGGAGTCTTTCTATTTGATATTTTTTTTTGAGTTTGGATGATTGCAAAAATGGAAATTCGGAGAGATGGAAGAGTAGAAGAAGGATATTATCTTTAATTTTATCTTATCAAAAAGGTATTTTATTCTTTCATAAACCATCTAACGATAAAAATCAATAAAATTAAACAGAAGGAACTGAAGGACCACTTAACGAGATTAAACAGAAAAACCACTTAACGAGTCAGAATCAAATTTCGGAAACCAAATACCTAATGTACCAAAATACAAGGACAAAATAATTAATTTTATAAAACTTAATGACGATATGACAATTAAATAAAACAATCCAAGTTAGCGGAGATGCCATAACAAAGTAGTTACGCCTCAGTAGAAATAGCATAGCTTATTTTAAGTTTGGAAAGGACTCACCTACATCCGTAAATAATATAAAAGCTATTAATAATTTTCATTCTGATGAACAATACTTCTTTTTTCAAAAAAAAAAAAAAAAAAAGTCTACGCCCTCAGTTAGAAATAGCCATAGCTTATTTTAAGTTTGGAAAGGGATTCAACTACCATCCGATAATAATTATAATAGCAATTTCAAATTATATTTTTACATTCTGATTGGATGAATCGCAATACGTGTCTTTTTTCAAAAAAAAAAAAACATAAAGAAAATGATAGAAGATAATGCTCATTAAGAAATGTCCCCTTGTATTTATCATTTCCGACTCTCAGTTATTCCATATTTTCTAATTAATCTGAAACCCATACTGGCTTTGATAATTTTCGATAAACCTGCAAATAATTGTCTAACTGCGATACGGTATAAGAGACACGAATCTCTAATAAACCTGTGAGTGGCCCCGCACGGACTTGCTTCTTATATCGCCTAAGCTAGAGCCACCATCCGAGAGTTTCAGAATATAAAACCAACATTATTATCACGCGAAAATGTTTTGAAGTAGTTATCAAGATGCCGTTACTAAAAACATATGCGTTAACTACTGGTTTTTTACAATAAAAAAGCATATTCATTTAGATTGTTGTACTCTATGCTTATGCTCTCGGTATGCAAAAAGTTGACGCGGGCTCAGTAAGAACTCCTTGGGGCACCTCGCATTCAAAGCAGTTAATTTTTTAAAAAAAAAAAAAAAAAAAATAATAATAATAATAATGTCCCTTTTTTTTCTATATCCATTTTAGAATACAATTTATTTTAAACCTGCAAATTGTAATGCAATAGTAACAAATTTATAAATGGAGTCCAATTATCGCAAACCACAAGGTTCAGAATAAAAAAATATAACAAAATTTTAAGATATCAAGATCCTACTAAAAATATCGTAAATGGTTTTTACAAAAAAGCATATCATTTAGATGTTCTTATGCTTATGCTTGTATGCATAAAATATAATCATAAGAACTTGGCCTTTAAAATAAATTTTAAATGACATAAATTTAACATTTTAAGATGGTTCTTTCGCAACAGCAGCTCCAACAAAAATACCAAGATCCTTTTAATCTCATTTTAGGACATCGGTTAATTAGTAACTACGAGGATCAATGTAGTTTTTAATCTACTTCAGCCACCATTCCTTTTAAACTTTTCACCAAATTCCTCCTAAACTAATTGGCATAGCTACACTAATGGCTAGATCCAACCATGTCATGCGTGGACACTGATAGCCAATGTAATGTTATATGTATTCTGGACGGACTGACTGAGAAAGGAGGAACCATATAATTCTAAAACATTGGCATCAAAATGGTGCTAACAAATGGCCGGGGAAAAACCAGTAAGGTGAAATAACGACGACAACACATAAGAAATTTTTTAAAAGGTAAAAAATATCCAAAATAGCACAAACTCCCTGTATCTCACTAAGCAGCAGCCTTACCCTCCTCGGCAGCAGCTTCAAATGTCTCCCCAGCAACAAGCTCCGGGACATCATCATCATCTTCCTCTTGTGCTGCTGTTGCAGCATCGCCTGCATTTGGTGCCTGCTTCTGTATCTGCTCAGCTAACTTCTTCAAGTTATCCAAATTATCAGGACCTATGAATCAAGAGTTCCAAAAAAAAAAAAAAAAAAAAAAAAAAAAACACAAAATAACAACATTAAGAACGATGGATCATATGTTGGTCAACCATTTCAAGGCTATATATTCACTGAAAATTCAAGGATCATACATCTAACCGACCTAACATAAATTTGGGATGTTGCTTACCCGAAATGGCAAGGACTTGACGGGAGAATATCTGCAATTTCTGTCTTGAGAATAAGATAAGAATATTCTAATCTAAGAAAACAAAGGAATATAGCTATTTATGATTTGGATGCGCAATCTAAAACTCGCAGTTACTAGGAGCAATTCACTACCTTCTGAGTTGGTGTGTAGTGTCTGCAGCTAACAACCCATGTCATATTAGCCAGTTCCATCATGGAATTGCTATGACCACTAGAGATCGACCACTGAATCTACGGTACTATTATTCCCTCCAAAAGGAATATCAGTTTCTTAAGCTGCTTTAATGGTGAAATGATGTCGGAATTCCATCGTATGCAAAGAAGTTAGGGCTTTTCACCTTTGGGGATTTTTGAAAAACTGGAATACTATGTCATCTTGAATATGTTGACTTTCCTTACGATCTGCAGGAATAGCATTCACTCCTAATCTACTTCAAAAGTTGCTCTGACAGCCTTTTATACATCTGTAGTTTGTTAGTTTTTTTGTGGACAGCCTTCTTCTTCCTGTTAGTTAGAGCAAAAAACTTGAAGAATTGTCGCAGCTAAGTAAAAAAAAAAAAAAAAAAAAAAAAAAATAAAAAAAAAAAAAAATAAAAAAAAAAAAAAAACAAAAAAAAAAAAAAAAAAAAAAAAAAAAAAAAAAAAAAAAAAAAAAAAAAAAAAAAAAAAAAAAAAAAAAAAAAAAAAAAAAAAAAAAAAAAAAAAAAAAAAAAAAAATTAGCAGAAAATAATGTTAAGGTCAAAATATGCAAGGTAGAATTTCAAATACTGTATCCAGACATCCAACAAAATGCAGTAACAGTTAATTCTCATATAACATTACACCAATCAAGAAACAACCAAAACAAATCCGTTCTATGGAATTCACTCACTTATAGTATTGGCATTGTGTTGTTGCACTATTGGAAAGAATTGTTAACTTCTTTACCTTTGTAAAAAAAAGTACAGCCATTTACAATTTGAATGTATTTCATATTTGAGTTATTATTAAAACACTGTGATATAAGGCTCTCATTTGACGTCTTAGAGGCATTGCTACTGGTATAGATAATCCAACCACTTCTTGAAGTGCGAACGATGCTCGCAACATACTGCATCCCATCTAATTGCAATGATTACATGCATTAGAATGAAATATCTTAAAAAAAAAAAAAAAAAAAAAAAAGAAATGGTCAACATTCAAGCATATATTCAAAATTCAAGGAAACACTACACAACATAAAATTGGGATGTGCTTACCCAAATGGCCAAGGACTTGAGGGAGAATATCCTGCAATTCTGTTGGAGATAAAAAAGAATATTAATCTAAGAAACAAAGGAAATAGTTATTTATTGATTGGAGGCAATAAAAAGTACTAGAGCAATACTCTTAGTCTGTGGAGTTCCACTAACAACCCATGTATTAGCAGCAATGGATGCTTGAACTGAAATAGAAATTCAAAAGAATATCAGTTTCTTAAGCTGCTAATGGTGAAAGATGTCGATCATTCATATGCAGAAGTAGGCTTCACCTTTGGGATTTTGAAACTGGATAACTATGTCATCCTTGAATATGTTGACTTCCTCGATTGCAGGAATAGCATTCACTCCTAATCTCTTCAAAGTGCTCTGAAGCCTTTTATCATCTGTAGTTGTAGTTTTGTGGACAGCCTTCTTCTTCCTGTAGTTAGGAGCAAAAACTTGAAGAAATTTCGCAGCTAAGTAATAGCAGAAATTTAATGTAGGTCAAAAATAGCAAGGTAGAATTTCAAATACTGTATCCAGAATCCAACAAAAATGCAGTAACAGTTAATCACATATAACATTAACACAATCCAAGAACAACCAAAAATCCGTTCTATGAATTCACTCATTATAGTATGCATTTTTGTTGTTGCACTATGGAAAGAAATTGTATAACTTCTACCTTTGTAAAAAAAATACAGCCATTAAATTTAATGTATTCATATTTTAGTATTAAATGAAAGGTTCATTTGATTTATAGAAACAAAATTTTAAGGAATTCGACAACTGCACCACAATCATATTAAGTAAATGAAATCTACACTTGAAATTCCTTTATACCAAAAAACGAGTTAGATATAAATTCCTATGAAAGTAAATATAGCTTGAAATTGGAATACAATTTGCACCTTCTCATGCTACCCTTCCCACCAGTGCGAACTGCACCAGCCATCTTCATAAGCCTCTCCCTATTCATCTGCACAAAAGTTGAAAATTCCACATCGGTCAATTACAATTAAGAGCTTGTTTTATACAAATGAATTCAATATAATTTTACGTTATTTCATGGCTAGTGCAGATGAAAATCCATTTCATTTTTAATTCTATGGAACTAGTGATGCTTGAACCAAATGCTGAAAACATTGATAGAATTTACAACCTCCAAACTTAACAAGCAAACAAAATACTGAAACTATTGGATTCTAAGTAACCTAGTAAGGCTACATCTTTATTAAAACAAATTCTACAAATCCAAACATGAAAATCCATTTACAAATTAATTTTTCTCATTGGAATCCATTTGCATATGAAATGTATTCCATACAAATGTACTGTAAAAACCATCTAAAACAGAAAAGCAATATAAAAACACACATAAAAACCACCAAAACCAGAGCACATTAAAAGAATGAATATCTGTACATGGAAAAAAACACTACTAAAAAGACGTACTTTTTATTGTGTAGGTAGAGAGAGCTGCAAAAATAAGTTACTCCCAACAAATTAATCTCATTCACAAAAGGGCATACAAAACTCATCAATAACAAAGAAAAGCCTAAATTGTAAAGAGACATTTTATGACAATAACAACAAAATCAGTGATAGATGTTCAGAGTTTATCCTTAAAAACAAAACAAAATTCAAATATCATCATTTTCTACAGTCAAATTTGAATTTACACAATTAAGTTTAGCTTCCTCTATTTTAGCTCTAAATTTCAAATCAATTTCTCAGTACAGTAAACCCTCAATTTAAAAAAAAATAAAAAAAATAAAAAAAAGCAAAACTCATTTATAAAACTGATTCCGGATTTGATGTTCTCCTCCCTTCTATGAATCGGTGATGACGGGAATATGAAAAGGAAACGAGTGAAATTTAAAAACGAAAATAGAAAACAGAAGCAAGTATACACAAAGAGTAACACGCTAGCTAACCTTTTAATTTGAAGAAGTTTAAGATATCTTTCAAAGAATTGGAAATTATGAACTGTCGACGGTGAGGAAGCACGCAACCAGTGGCACGGAGAGGCACAGCCTTCTTTTAGCTTCTGTTTCGTCTTCGTGCAGCGGCTAGGGTTTATTTTATTTGCTTCGGATTATTACTTACCTCTAACGGTTGAGATTGATTCTCATTATGAATGGCGATGATAAGCACAATACCGAGTTTAAAGATCCAATGGTTGAGATTAAACAGCAATCCCCCCTTATTTGGTAGGATTAATATAAAAAAATTATTGATAAATATTTTTGTTAATTAAGTTTACAAGGCGCTGAATAAAGTTATTTTCTAATTTTAACTCTGATGTCCAGAATATGTTAATAATTATTAAATTTTAATTTATATATAATATAGCCATAAAAATTCAATTTGATGCACACAAATAACTATTTTTCATCAATCAAATTTAAAATTTTTTAACTAAAATCAAAAGGACGTACTACTCATTGTCGGTTTGCCTAATTAAAGTAACAAAAACGCAAGATTTATATTAGGAACGTATTTAGTTTAGTTTAAATAATTATTTTAGTTTCATAAAATAGATTAACGAGTTTAATAAATAAAAATATTAATAGCAATTAGTTGTTGACTTCCAATGGATTTGAAAATTATTTTACATTTAAACTCAATAATCATTATTAGAATTTATTAATCACAGCATTACTTTGTTTTAAACTAATTTTTTCTATGATTATAAATTAGTAAAAAAAAATAAATATTATATGGATACCAAAATTAATTCTATTTATAGACAATAAAAATTATTTAAATATGGATACCAAATTAATTATAGTTTTCTTGATTTAATGTTTTCAATTATTATCTTCTTATTTTAAATAATAAAATATCACCATAACAATTTTCTCCATTATTATATTATGGATTAATCCATCGAATTCAAAGAAAAAAAATCCAAGTGAATTTGAAGAGAGAAATGCAAAGATTAAGGGATTTGAGATGGAATCGGGTGAAGCTCGCCTTTACGCAAATATATATTTTCTACACAGATTTTGACCAATTTAAAATTAGGGCACAATTTTGACAAATTCGAGGAGTTAAGTTAAATTGAAAATACAATTGTACAAGATATAAAGTTAAGAGATATTTAAACGGTTACGCTAAATATATGGATTTTTCGAACAATTTTTATCAAGTTACGGGGTCTTTTCGACCAAAAAGTTTTAAGAAATGGGTATTTTTCAACTTTTTGCGAAGTTGAGGGTCAAAATGAATCTATTTCCTTTTAAAATTTATAATATAACTTTGAACTTGTAAATTTCAAATACAAATACAAATACTTAAATCCCATTGAAAACCCAGTCATTGAGCAAAAGTACTTAAAAAGGGTACAACTGTACTTCTCACATTGAAAACCCATTACTGCAACAACAAATCCCACTCTCTAATATTGAGAAATAAAAAAAAAACAATAAAAGCACTGACTTCTTTTATAATGGGATGACAAATGCGGGAGTTCTAAATTCATAATGGTTTTTTTCACAAATTATATTTTATATGTAACAGAATCGAAAGGCGATACATATCTCGAACATCAACTCACAGAAATGAAAAGTGATATGATTTTATTGTGAAAAGAAACTAATTTTAAAACTATACAATTATAAATATCATGAAGGTTATTTATCAGTAACTAAGTTATTAAACAAAAGCTGCAATGCCATGATTTTGATTCAACCACTTCCTCAAGAACATATGGAGGATCCTTAAAACGAGCACATAGTCAAATTTATCAAAGCAACGTGCAATTCTGGGCAGTACACTAAAGCTCTTTAGTTACACACGGCAAAACTTATGCTACAGCGTGAATCAAGAACATCATTCATCGTGCAATCAACCGATCGGACTTTTTGCACAAAAATAAGTTCAGGATGAAGAATTCATCCAGGCAAAAAATAAAGGAGGTGGGCCCACAAAAATATGCAATCAAACTGCAGGAGTTTCAAGAACAAACTACAGAATCAACATCAAGTAAAATAACCAATTTCCATAATTACCTTGATTAGTTAATACAATACCAAACTTGCCATCAAACTTCCACACATGCTAACATGAAAATGACATGTAAAAAAATCAATCAGAAATTAGTGTAAATCACAAATCAGCGTTAGATTGTTTAACGCCTAGTTCACAAAACATATGAAACTACATCTACATATCTACATGAAGGAAAAGCTTTTTACTACTGAAACATCATACTCTACATGTTAAATGCTAAAGAATAACAGCACACCCTAGTGTAGATCACTTCACTAATCCTACATGGGAGTTGGGACTTGAGCTGCACCAACCAAAAAGGTGAATTAGGCATTCAGTCATAGTTCACAGTAGAAATCAACTTCAATGAAGTTCAAGAATGAAATTTAGCAAATATGTCGAGGCCTATTTAGCTCGTTCAGTTTAAATGCATCAAAAGGAGAAAATGATAGTTTCAGTAAGGTTCTTACCTTAATCTGCATTGTGAGACTGATCGTGCTCGATAAAATCTAACGCATCTTCCTTGGAGACAACATTGACACGGCTCACCCTGTTTTTATGTGTAACCCCATATATCTTGTCAGCCACTTTCACAAGCTCAGGTCGGAATGTTGTTGTTATAAATTGTGTATTTGCCATATCAGCCAGGCGACGAATCATATCTACCAAGTAATCAAGGATCTCCCAACCATTGGATAATTCACATGAACATAGAAAGAGATAGGAAACACAAAAAACACCAAACACCACCAACGATAGTCAAACAACCAAATTCAGCACAAAATTGGACGGGTTTCCCCTACATGATAAACAACCCTCCATATAGATAAGTTGTTCAGTTCTTTTTCTTTCTTTTTTATTTTATTTTCTTTTATTTTTTTTGAGAACATTAATATTCAGCATACTCAAGGAAACAAAGCACAAAAGAAATAACTGTTGCAGAATGATTTTCACAGAATTCAAAGGAACTTAACATGTTTACCCCATAGAACATCTTGGTAATAATTGAAAAAGGGTTTACACATTTACAGTTGAAAAGCTGTAAACACCAGCTCAGATATTCTGAGCACAATCTCATTCCATGCAGAAGGTACATTGCAAAGGAATAGAAAAGAAACAGTGTGAATAAATATGAAATAGCACTTTGCTCCATTTCCAAAAAAGAAAAGTTAGCTGAAACAAAAATTTTTATCATCCAAGCAACATCATGATTACTTGAGGCACAATTCCCGACCACCTAAAAAGCCATGCTGATTATTAAGAACAAATATCAAGAACTAACAATCATAAACATATATACAACATATCACCTTTACTAAATATTCCTCAAGAGATTCCATTTGGCTTACACTGGCTATCACTTAATACATCGTTTGAAATAGACCCATCTAGAATTTATTTCATTTTGCAAATGAATTTCATTAAAAAAATTCACTTGTTGTACATGAATTTCCATATTTAGATTAACAATAGAGTTCGTTTTAAATATTATCTTTACTAGGTTAAACATAGAATTCATTAGTTCTAGTAGCTCTTTTTAACTTTATAATTCATTTGCGAATTCTATCGATTTCTTTTGCAGAATCTGGTTCAAGCAAAGCCAATTCCATAAATTAAAATCATGAAATTCTAAACGAATTTTTGATTTATTGCAAACAGGAAAACATGATTTGCAAATGAATTCCATAAGATTTTATGAAATTCATTTTATACCAAACAAGCCCCAAAAGTTCCAAATACTTTCTAGCAATACTCTATATAATGCTATATTAGCTGTAGTACTAGCTGATTATTCATGGAAAAACCGACATTATGAGCATTCATTTATGCAACTGCAGATAAACTGATTTCATAAAGGCAGAAATATTTAAAGACACACACATCAGCAAACTATCAGAATGGCAGTAGCCAACAGGAGCAGGTTGGGGCAGGCCATGCCAAACCTGACCCATCGCCAACCCGCTACTCATAAACCCATCATTGTCCCTGCCCCACCGCAATATATATATATAAGGGCGTGGAGCCTAAATACTAACCCTGCCTGTCCCTCACAGCGTAATTATCAGTTTACTCTGGAACCCGACCCACAACAACGTAGAAAAAATCCGCTCCATTCAGGCCAGGTTTTATCGGGTCTCCGCAAGTTCAGGACATTTTGCCATCTCTCTAGCAAAGTATGCATGTAGATGTACCAAAGTTTTTTGCCAATGGGTATAAACTGATGGGGATGAAGATCAACTCTCTTCTCACCATCAACACATTCCCAAAATAGAGAGCTGATTAATAAACCAAAGAATATCAAAGTTGCATATCGAAAAACATAAAAAATTGGATACTTCCAACAGCAGTTCTGTATTGAGGGTCTAGGGCTGCATCTATCTCATCAAAAAGATAAAAAGGAGCAGGATCACATCGCTGTATGGCAAAGATCAATGTGAGGGCAACAACAGTTTTCTGACCCCCAGACAATTGCTTCATAGATTGTGTCTCCCCTTGCCCTGTAAATGAAACCTATACAGCAAACAACAATTTTAAGCGCAGAACATAAAAATTATAACATATATATGTGCTGAAGTACTAAAGATGTCACAATTCACGAACAATTAATCAACTTCAATTAACAATGTATTTAATATTTGGGCTTATAATGAGTTGGACTTACCTTTAATACAAAATGGCCTAAGCCATTTTGGTTAGCTCACCCTCCTCATTACATGTTATTTAGTCAGTTTATGTTTATACAATGTGGATGTGAGATTACCCCCATACTTCAATACTCCCCTCAAGTGGCAATTAGGCCACTTGACAAGCATATGATGGGCCAGCACAGGTCCATCAAGGTATGACCCACATGCAGGTTCGGCATGTTAAGAATTTGGGTCCTAGGAGCAACTTATCAAATTCAATTAACAATGTATTTGATATTTAGGCTTATAATGAGTTGGATTTACCTTTAACATAAAATGGCCTAAGTCATTTTTATTATATGTCATTTACTCTATTTATGTTTATACAATGTGGATGTGGGATACCCCCATACTTCAACATTACCCATGTCTAAAAAAAAGTACACAAATTAGCAAATGAGATGCCTGCATATAATCACCTTACCTTTATTTTTGTTTTCCAAGAGAAAATAAATCCTTGACAATAATTAGTAGTAAACCAAAAAAAGAAAAGAAAAAAAAAAAAAAAAACACATAACCATTACCCATGTCTAAAAAAAAGTACACAAATTAGCAAATGAGAGCCTGGCATGATAAATCACCTTACCTTTATTTTTGTTTTCCAAGAGAAAATAAATCTTGACAATAATAGTAGTAAACCAAAAAAAGGAAAAGAAAAAAAAAAAAAAAAAAAAAAAAAAAAAAAAAACACATGCCTTTACTTTCACGCCAATGTATTTCTCAACCCTCCCCTCCAAATCTGCTTCACGAGGGCCATCATCATCATAGTCATCATCGCCTTGATCACCATCCTGTAGAAATGCAGCTGAACCCATAAAATTGTTTCCATTTTTCATCTTGTAAGTAATAAATACATTTTCATTTCAAATGCACTAACCAATTTTCTCCAAGGGTGAAAAGCTAAGAAAATTAATGCCAATTAACCATGGACATCAAGTGGGAATCATTGAATAGTCTTCAAACAAATAGCAAGGATAAGAAATTTTTATGACTTTTTTTTTTTTTTTTTTTTTTTTTTTTTTTTGAGGGGATGTTTATGACAATGACTCATAAAGAACACAGTAAAGCTGCACGAGAGAGGAGTAAAAGTAAATCAACTAGCAAAGAAATAATAGGAAGAATTTGCACATCCGAAGGTCACTTTTCTTATTTCACACAGGGGAAAAAGGGGAGTGCCAAGAAGAAAATTGGTTGGAATAACTTAACAGCAAGAAGTCCATACTTCCCTAAGAAACTGAGGTAACAGATGAATCAAAATTATTTCAAGTGGACCCATCCTTGAAGCAATATTGATATTTAAGTCCTCTTAAGTGTCAAACCTCATAAGGGCACCCTTTCTGAAGAAACTAATAAAAGACCAATAAGCAAACAAACAGGTACTATTAAGG